GATGGGTAGACATTACGCAAGTTGTCTTTCTGGAACCAACCTTTCGCCAGGACTCACAAGTAGGAGAAGTTTCCTTTGAGGTCTTTCAGTTGCTGAATGAGAGGAATAAAGTCATCGTTGATCTACCAGCAGATGTGTATGAGTCTTTTCTAGAATATGATCTCGCAGCGGCAATACAGAATAAAAGCTACGACAAGGCAAGGTTCTTCCGTGAGCTGTTCTTTCCGAACATCGCCTTGGTACCAAGCCACCAGAGGGACAAGTTGGTCTTGTACGTTCTTGACTTGTGCGCTCAAGACGAGAAAAACGACGGAGGCTTCGACTATCTCATTAAATCACATGCCTGTATTCCAGCTTCACCGGATGGTCAAATGCTGAAGTGTCCATGCCAACTGATTAATCCGGAAAAAACTGCCGCCTCTCTGTTTAGCCCGGAGGACCAAAGGTTTCCATTTGGCACAGAAGCAACCTTCTTAAGCAGTCTACGGCTTGCCAAACTTGAAAAGCTTGGGATGTTGACGGATGATCTTCCATGGCCCGAGGTTGCAGAAAGAGCAGAAAGTATAAGCGTTTTAAACAGAACTAGTGAAGAAGCAGCTCAAAAGCGCATAACGGCATTGGTGTATTACCTGCAATGGAAGCTGGGGCATAAAGATGGAAATTGTATTTCCGATGATGTCAGTAACAGGTTCTTGCACGCAGAATTTCTTCCAGTACTTAAGAAGCCAGAGAAGTTTCCTCTTGTCTGGAAAGGGGATGAAGTACGAACTGGGAACGAGGGAAAATTGCTGTCACCCAAGGAATTATTTTTAGAGCGCGAAAAGAACTTAATCTGCTGCACCGAGCCAATAGTAGATCAACATATGCCAACAGTTGTTCAAACATTTCTGCATTTAAACGAAAAGAGGGCTACCCTCCACCATGTCGTGTCCCAACTTGATGTTGCCTCGTCAATAGACGCTAACAGTCTTGATATACAGGGAAGCAAACAGTTAAGCAGGGTGTGCTTGGCGACGTACACATACCTTCAAAGAGCTCTTGACAGTAAAGAAGTCGACGTTGAGCAATTGAGAGAGATTTTTCGTGGAAAGAAGTTCATTCTCTGTGGCGAGGAATTTGTTTATGCAAAGCAAGTGGCGTTCAAGTTGCATGTGGATTGTTCTCCCTATCTTTATCAGCTGCCGTATGATTTAGCCAGATCATTTCATGGTTTGATGAAAACAGCTGGTGCGAAAGATGCTTTTGAAGAAGAAGATTTAATCTTTTGTTTGAATCTAATAAAGCAGAAGTTTGGAGATGCTGAACTCGATGAGAAGAATCTCCAAGTGGCAGTCAATGTGGCCGTTCAATTGGGCAACTGCATGACAGACTCTAAGGACGACGGCAACAACATTCATGAAAATGGGGATTTGTTTTGTCTTCCTGATTCCAAAGGAATGATGCAATCCGTTGGCGAGCTTTGTATGAGAGACTGCCCTTGGATGCCTGACGAAATTGGGGTTCATTTTGTGAGTGATCTGCTTCCGCCTGAAACGAACAAACGACTCGGTGTCAAAACACGCCGTGAAGAAGCACTAAGACCTTTTTCGTTTGGTATTCCCTTTGGACAAAACGAAAAACTCACAAATCGTTTAAAGCGCATTCTGACAGCTTACCCATGCGAGAAAGAAATATTGAAAGAACTTCTCCAGAATGCTGATGATGCTCAAGCAACAGAGATTTGCTTTATTAAAGACCCTCGAAAGCACCGAGATGAGAAAGTGTTTGGAGACTCATGGAAACCACTGCAGGGTCCTGCATTGTGTGTCTATAACAACAAGCCTTTCACTGAAGCTGATATTGTGGGCATACAGAACCTTGGCGAAGGAAGTAAAGGGGACGATCCAAACAAGACCGGGCAGTATGGTGTCGGGTTCAATGCGGTGTATCATTTGACTGATGTGCCGACATTTGCCTCCAGTGGCAAAGAGATTGGAGATGTTTTGTGTGCGTTAGATCCACACTACAAGTACGTGCCCGGGGCAACTGCTGCTTTTCCAGGAATGATGTACAAAGGAACAGCGAAGTTAAAACGCATGTTTCCAGACGTTTTTTCTTGCTATATTGAAGATAAGTTCCCGATGCAAAATTCAACAATGTTCCGTTTCCCATTGAGAACCCAAGAGATGGCAAATGATTCCAAGTTATCTACATCTCCAGTAACGCTTGCAACATTGGATGGCATGATGGAAGCACTGAAAGGAGAGCTTTTTGAAGTTCTACTTTTTGTGAATAACGTCAGGAAGATCACGTTGTGTGAAATCGACAAAGCAAGTAATAAGGTTGTGAACTCTTATTTCGTTGAAGCAGAAATGTCAGAAGAGGATGCAGCCAAGAGGCAACAGTTTATCACCTACGTGAAACAGATTACAAAGAAAGGTAACCAGAGAGAGCTCCTCCTCTCTGGAGACGTTGAAGTGAAAAAGTGTTCGTATGTTCTGAAGTTACGAGACAGTCTTGGCAACGAAGAAAAGTGGCTCATTGTCAGGCAAGTTGGGTTTGAAAGCGAAGTGCAAAGAAGTATCCTGGATGCTTACAAACGAGGTGATCTGGGGATGCTTCCCCGAGGTGGTGTCGCTTGCCTTTTGGAGAAGAAATCCAATCAAAGGAAATCAGGGAGTAGTCGAAAAAAAGTTTACTGTTTTCTTCCACTTCCTTTAGAAACCAACCTTCCAGTCCATGTAAATGGTCACTTTGCTCTGGACCACGAAGCTAGACGAAATCTGTGGAAGGACGAAACTACTGGCTATCGGAGTGACTGGAACAACGCTTTGCTGACAGATGTGATAGCCTCATCCTATTTGACTCTTTTGGATGAGGTGAAGAGTCACCTCCATTTGCCAGTTGAACACAACGTTGAACAAGTTCTGCTTAACGGCAGTAAAGATGTTTTGGGGAGAAAGATTCAAGAATACGAGAAGCTGTTCCCGTTGTTTCTCCCAGGC